CCCCCCCAACACTCCCGTCGAGCATCGTATGTTGTTATATCATACATCTTATATATATGTATTGCCCTGTGTGGGTCGGAGTTATCTCTCTCTGACATTGGTGATTTTAGATTTATCCTCTATGAGACATATATATTTTTTGTATGTCTCGCGTCAGTTATAGATATATTCACTATATGTAAATGGAGCTATACACCTATAGATTTATAACTTTGTATTATTATACATATTTGAAGGGGTATTTATTGTTTGTTATCGTGCTGCGCTCTCACACATGCACTCTCTCTCACACACACACACACACACACACACACACACACACACACACACACACACGCACGCACACACACACACACACGCACGCACGCACACACACACACACAAACACATAGACGCAAATACACACATGTATGCGTACCGTCGTTTGCCCAGATGATTGTGAGGCGAAGGTCGCAATCAGCCTGGAGAGAGGAAAAGAGGGCAGGCGTGAGTACAGATGTCAGCACCACCAGGACGAACACAAACACAGGTTAGCGTGCTCGACCGCCAGCTCTTACACAGAGGTACACAGAGACACAACTACGCTGAGGCAGACAGACAGACGCACACACATTAACATACAGACGCACATACACATACATACACGTGAACGCATGCACGCACCGATGCGCATGGCCCGGTGGGCTTGAAGCTGTCTGGAGCAGCACCCAGGCTGGAGTGCCAGAACTGTGGTGTGCAGACATTGAGTCCCTGGGCCTGCATACACCACATGCAACAGCAAGCCAAGAGCGGACGAGCGTGCGTATTTCGTCAGAAACCAATCCCAATATCAGAGGCGCACTCACTCGTAAGCAGTTTCAAGTTGACATGTTCTTCACCTCATCGTCCATTGCTTGCCCTCTTCACCACACCTCATCCTACTGCACACCCACGCTTCACACGGCGTTGTTTCAAGGCACCTTCAGCTGCTCCACAAGGAGAAGTGTGGCGTAAGGAGGGTTGGAGGGCTTGCAGCGCACGACAACGGACATGCCTTTGATCTTGGCAGCCTGATCCGCGCCAGGCTGCACCTGACCATGCTTGCCCTGTTGATGTGTGCACGCATGTATGCAGACGAAATGAGATGCAAGAAGTGAGATGCACGAAATGAGATGGCGAGTTGTCACGCTCATGCGCATCCATGCGGGCGTGCACACCATTGCACTCATGCACGTTCTCACGCAACAACAAGCACGCACACACACACACACACACACACACACACACACACACACACACACGCACGCACACGCGCGCGCGCGCGCGCACACACAAACACCTGTTTCGCTGCAGAGGGGGCCGTTGGAGCGGCACCCGTGGGGCCGACGCCCAGGAGCGAGTTTGTCATGGTCAGCAGATGCTGAAGGTTGGCCAAGTTCTTCATCTGGCGCTGATACAGACGGCCGCGGCGGTCGTTGGGGAGCTAACACAGCAACACACGGCATGTACATACGCGCGCAAGCGAGTGAGTGTCATCTCTGAGCTCGGAACCATAACTGAAGCATGGACCAAGACGCTGTCACCACCACCACCAACACGCACATTCACACACATACAAACACACTCTCACACAGACGCAGCTACCTTGGGCTGCTGCCCCTGCTCGGTGCTTGGGACGTTGATAAGGGGGTCCATGCGGTACATGACATCTGTCACAGGAGGCTGTGGCTCCTGGTACATGGCATCTGCCTTGTACATGCTGCCCATGGTGGGTGGTTGTGTGTGTGTGAAAGGGGAGGAGAGCGTGTGGTGACTGGTTGGTTACACAAGTGCTGCGGCTGCACATGGATCGTGAAAATTGACAAAACCTTTGCCCAATATTCTAGCCAAAAGCAACGCTGGTGCAGAAGGGACTGCACACTGGCTGCTTGCGTTGCGTGTGTCTGTCAGGTCTGTGTTCTCCTCTCCACGCGTCGTGTTCTGTTTACGCCTTGCACACCACACATGTGACATGACTCAGGACTCACGTCCTCTCGCGTCCGTACCGTGATATCGTACCGCCAACTCCTTTCATTTCCTTTCTTCACATGATAAGAAAACAACAACTTGGAACAACAGACGCCACTTCCAAGAAGCAGGAACAACACCACCAGGCAAGCAAGCAAGCAACAAGCAAGCAGGCAGACACACTGACACGCACCACTGCACCAGCACAGCACACCACCACAACTGCACTGAACTGCACGCAAAGAAAAGCAGGGCAATCAACAGAGACGGAAGCACGCGAGACATGAGGGCTTCTCAGCAATAGGAAGGCAGCAACAACAAAGCACGCAGAATGACAAGCACGACGCAAGAACACACCACACCGGTTCGGGTGGATGGTAACGGCCGACGCAAAGGCAAAGGACAACGACGACAAGCAAGAGCAAAGAAAGAAACACCACAGCAGGTGCAGCCAACAGCAACACAACAGCCACAGCAAACAAGTCAGCGTTTAAGCAGCGGGCTGTGGTGGAGCGAATCTCAAAGAACCGCGTTCACACACGCCCACAGTTGCCACGCTTGCTTGCATTCGTGTGCTCAGATGCTGGCTTGCGCGGGCTTGGACTCTGGCATGGAGAGAAGCGTCTCCAGTGCGCCCAGGATCTTGTCGTGCTTGACGCGCTCGTGCACGGGCTGCGACAGCTCAGCATCCAGCCCTTGGAAGTCTGTGCCGACGGGATGGCAACGTGTGTCAACGCACATATGTTTGTATGTGAATGTGTGTGTGTGTGTGTATGAGTGTGTGTGTGTGAGTGAGTGTGTGTGTGTGTTTGTGTGTGTGTGTGTGATTGTGTGTGTAAGTGAGTGTGTGTGTGTGAGCCAAACCGTGTGCAAGCGTGGGGCGCAGACTTGTCGCACGTGGCATTGCAGGCGTGCCCAGAGCATTGCACGCTTCAACGAGCACAGCAGCAGACGCACCGTAGGATGAAGGGATGTCACGGCGAAGCATGCCGAGGTTCTCGCAGCTCTGCATCAGCGAATTGAAGTTTGCAATCACCTTCGAGGCAGCCAGCCGCTCGTGCCCGTGTGCACAGTACGGCTTGATGGTTGGACCTGATGGTGTTGGGGGAGTGCAAGGGAGGGGTACGAAGCACATGCAGAAACATGGCCGGATGAGGGCACGTGCATTTTGGGACAGTAGCATGGTTGGGTGGCAGGTTCAACGAGCGCTTGTGCATGCATGCATGCATGCAAGCAACGGCACGAGCAGGGAGAGGTGCATCACAGCACAGCACACACGCACACACGCACACACACACACACACACACACCAACAGCTGTACGCACGATTGCGGGCGCGCAGCTTGATGTTGGCGAGGACGCAGAAGAGGTGGCCATCTGCAAAGTGCCACAGGAACGTTTCGCGAATGTTCTCTGTCTTGACATTGAAGAGCGGGATCCCAACAGTGTTCTCAAACGCATCCTTGGCGCGCTTGAGGCGAGACGTGAACACTGTCTCGGCATGCTGCCGGCGCTCTGTGCTCAATTTGCGCGGCAGCTTGTGCGGCTCATCGTGCACACGCCGCACCGTCTCACGCAACTGAGTGTATGTGTGTGTGTGTGTGTATGAAAGCAGAACAAATTCGTGAGCACAATGAGAGACGCTAAGAAAGGAGGAAATGCGATCGACTATGGTTATAGAAGAACACCTCTCGCACACCTGCACACACACCTGCACACACACACTCTCTCTCTGCCCTCCCCCACACACTCAGTGATACGCACCTCGGTGTCGCGAACGTCTGCTGGCTGCTGCGTCTGCTGCGGTTCGGCGTGGTGGAGATGGATGGATGCCCGGCCCTGAAGTGGTGACTCAACCACCTCCGCCGAATGCACTTCCTGCAGGTGCCCACGCATGGGCTGCTGCTGCTGCTGCTGGCCGCCAACCTGGGCTGCGGAAGAGAGGCCAGCCTGCTGCGTGGACGGCGATGCTGCCTGCATGGTGACGGGCTGGCCAAACACCATCGTGCCAAGCACAGTGTTGCCTGCGTTGGTCTGGTGCTGGTCGCTGCGCGGCGAGCGGTCCACAGCCGGTGATGAGGTCGACGACTGCGCAGAGCGTGATCGCTGCAGATCAGCACGGAACATGCGCGATGCCGGCTGCCCGCCCCGCTGCGATGACGATGGTGGCGGTGGCGGTGGCGGTGATGCTGCTTCACCGGACACGGGTTCGTCTGCCATCGTTTCACGAGTGACGCCAGAGAGCTTGCGCTCGTCTTGGTCCTTGCGTTTCCCAGCTGCTGCGCCCTGCTCCGTGTGCATGGCCGTGTCCGCTGTCAGCACCTGGCGCGGGCGGGCCGGTGTGGACGTGAACGCGACGGCGTCTGTGGTGGGCGCTGTTGATTGCTGGGCGAGGGCTGGTGGCGGTGGTGGTCCACTCGACAGCTCCAGGAACGCACCGCCAAGCTCCGAACTCGTGCTGTCATCATGTGCTGTCCGGCCCGAGATGCTGTCACCATACATAAAGCTGAAGGTCGTGGTGGAGGAAGAAGGGGGGACGAGTGGAGAACAGGTGTTGAGTTCGCTGCTTTGCAACGGTATCAAAGTGCAAATGCATCGTGACATCACAGCCACATGCACGTGCGCAGTCACACACACACACACACACACACACTCACACTCACACATACATTCACACACACTTACGCAAGCACGTTCACATAGCGTACAGCGTGCACCCTCTCTGTTACCTCTGGTCGGCGGTGTAGACACTGAGGCGCTGCAGCTGCGCCGTGAGCTGCGAGCGACCGCGCTTGATGATGCGGGAGTGGCGATGGATGGACTCGCGTGGCATCGGCGCGTTGCGGTACTGCTCCTGCTCCTCAAGCAGCTTCACCTGTTGTGCGTGCGTGCGTGCGTGCGTGTGTGCGTGAGGCGTGACTGTTGTCGGGCATGCGACGCCACCGCTGTGCCATTGCAAAGAGCAGAGACACTACCGTGAGTACTTACCCTGCTGCCCCAGACGGATCTGCGTTGCTCGGCGTTGAGTTTGGGCATTTTGGGGCGCATGCGCACGGCCGACGCGTCCGAGGACAGACCGGCGTGGATGTCCACTGCTGCGCATTGCAGGCCATCATGCAATGTCTGCCACATGCGTGTAACATACATGAAATAGTTGGTGATTGCATTGTGAGTGGCATGACGCGGCCTGCAAGTTGCGTTTCATGTCGCAGCCTGCAACTTGCACGCACACGTGTACACGCACACATGTACATGTACGAAGACATACAGACTTACACTTACACGCACAACAAAGAGCAGCACTGATCAAGACGATTGCGACGTACGTGTGCGCGTTGCATGAGCAGCGTCAGTTGAGGGTCGCGGTACTTGTTGATGAGCGTCGCCGTGTCGGTGCTACGCAGTGTTGCAAATGTGCCTTCAATGGCAGCAGCAGCGTCGAGCAGCTGCTGTTCATCTGATGTCTCTTCCTCGCCCAGGAACGCAGAGATCTCAGCAAGATCAAAGTCCGTGTCATCCAGCTTTGGTGCTTGCTGCTGCTGCTGTTGTTGTTCAGTCTGCTGTGCTGTGGCCGGTGCTTCACGCCTCTGCTGGCCCTCTCGCTCGTACGCGGCGCTGCCTTCCTCGTCAGATGACGCAGCACCGCTGCGCGCCTCGTGCATGCCTGTGACGGCGTGGTACGCCTGCAGCCGGTTGAGCTGGTCCAGCAAGTCCCTGTTGCGCTCAGACAGCGTGTCGATGCGACGCTGTAGCCACGAGGGGGAGTGTGTGTGTGTGTGTGTGTGTGTGTGTGTGTGTGTGTGTGTGTGTGTGTGTGTGCAATGGATGATGATGATGATGATGATGATGATGATGATGATGATGATGATGATGATGATGATGATGATGATGATGATGATGATGATGATGATGATGATGATGATGATGATGATGATATGTGTGTGTGTGCGCGCGTGTGTGTGCAATGGATGATGTGTGAGAATGGGGATGCGTGTGACAGTGTGTGAGATGGGCCAGTGTGGGCGTTGCAGTGTAAAGCCAAAAGCAGTGCACTCGTTCAGCAGATGGAGACACAGCCAGCGACAACGGCCGAGAAATGTGAGATCACAGCAAGAGCAGATGTCACATGTGGCCTCGACAATGACGCACCTCAAGCTCCTCCTGTAGTGGGGTCGGGCCTGTCGACGAGCGATCATCACGATCAACGGACTGCATTTCCTGCAGCTCCATGACCTGACGCAACAAGTCGCGGTTCTCGGAGTCAAGCTCATCGATGACGCGCAACAGGTGCTGCAGTGGTGGTAGTGGTGGTGGTATCGGTGAGGATGGATGTGATGATGTGGTGGTATAAGAAAGTTGACGTGGTGACATGGTGGTGTGCAATGTGAGGAAGGTTTGAAAAAATGTCACAGCGACAGGTTGGTTGGGTGCTTGCATGCATGGATTGTGACGCAGGGGCACGGCAATTGTTCCAACACACGCACCAGCTTTTGTTCTGATTCCAGAGTGACGACCATGGTGGACGTGGCCTGATCTTCGCCACCGCCTTGGCGCAAACTGTCACATTCAAGGCCACAACAACGCGCGAAACAATGCATGGGGTGAGGTGTGTTAAATTACAGTCATGTAGAGGTCTCCAGAACAACGCACGAAGAGGAAGTTGAGGGCGCATTTGTGGCGTGTCAGCCATGCAATGACTGGTGTGCAACTGCGAATGACACAGGGTCCACGTGTTGACTTTTCATGGCTCACCGCTCGGCCATCTGCTCAATGAGGTCGGACTCCTCGCCCTCCTCGCCAAAGCCGCCGACTTCAACATCGCGCGGGGACACGCCCTCTTGAGAAGTGGCCATATCTTGCACAGATATCTCGGCCTGCGTGCCACGCGAGCGTGCGGCTGTGACGGCCACGGGCTCCATTGGAGGGAAGCCAGTGGCCATGGGCTCCGTCTGGCCCTTGCGCTTCTTGCGCGTGAACATGCGCGAGAACTTGGTCTTGATGCGCTTTCCGAAATCACGGATGTCTTCCTTTGTCGTTGTCTGTCATTGCACGAGTTGTGGCGTGGTGGGCGGGGAGGGATATGTAAGGATAAATGTTGAGGGCGAGGGAGGGCGTGAGTCGGTGAGTGCACGCTTGCACGTGCACGCGCGTGCCTGTGACATGTTAAGGGTTCAATGAGAATGCAATACGCCAAGTTGACGCTTCATCCGGTACGTACAGGGAAGCAGTATTCGCGGACTTCGTGCGAGTTCTTGTGCCCATTTCCTTCGCGGCCGGTCCAGTAACACTCCTGGCACACGTCCTTGTCCACGCACGTGATGGAGCGGTACCTGCACACACACACACACACGCACACACACACACACACACACACACACACACACACACACACACACACACACACACACACACACACACACACACACGAGAGCGTGGCTCGTTTTAGGACGCGCGGGTTTGTGAATACAAACGCAAAACCATGATCGAGCACCCATGTGCCAGTGCCATGATGCC